TGCTAGCGATTGCCACAAGGATTTTATGATACTCACTATCAAAGCAAACAGATCTCGTTCGAAAAGTAGGGAGTAAAGCGAAGCAGCAATTATGTGATATGCAGCGCGGAATTTTGGTCTGACAGTGGGGGTGAAATCTTTCGAAAGGGCTGAAAGCTTCTCCGTCTTGCAAGTTAGTTACATGAATGTGCAGCATATGGCGAGTAATAGGAGGCTGTACTGATGATTTCCGCTCCTATCCTCATGCAAAGGTTCGACATGTATTTACAGCTAAGGGATAAAACACAGCTGCATCCTAACATGTCTTCTTAGTCCAGTCCCTTATCTATTATCCTACTATTTCATTGTGACGCACCGGATCCAGATGCAAGTCGTTAATCTAACTACTTCTTAGCATATTTTTTTTTGAAAGGTGGAGAAAATAAGCTACTGCTGCTAGAGCGGTATGCTAACAAACTATAGTGCGTGTCTCCATTTTTCACAGAGAAAGAAATGTGAAAGAGCTCATGGCCCCGATGAAAAATAATGCGTGATGAGAGACTTACAACGCCAGCAGCAGCTGGTACCATGCTCGGCACCATAATGGGTAGAACTGGCGGCGCTTGCGTGTGATTAGTGGCACCATTTGGCAGCGTATTGTTTGGCGAATACAGCTGTTGCTGCGGCATGAAAATGCGACCTCAAAAAGTTTTACATAAAAATGTAAGCAGAACTAAGTCGATTAGAACGCTCTCACTTTACGAGAATGTATGCTATCTGTATGCGGGCGCGTAGGCATAAAATCTTGGCTGGAACCTGCTTCGTATTTGGACACATCAAAGATATTTGCAACGAAAATTGATTTCTTCAATCAGTTAAGCTTGGAAACTGAAATTTTACGAGGATATTCTATGCCCGTGTGCTACCGAAATACTAGGTGTCACAACTGAGATGTCACAACTGAGATTCCAATTAACTCGGCAGTCGGTTTGTGCAGGAAGCTGTATTTTTCTGAGGATGTTTGCTATTCACGTGCAGGCTACTGAGCGTAAAATGAGCTTCTGCGCGGGCATGGGCCTGCATCTGGCCATTGTAACACCGTAGTCACACCCTACAATACAGACAATCTCTCCACAGGACGGAATTATGCAAAAATAGCACAATCGCATCCTAGTGCTTCGTCATCTAAGTTCATTATTGAAACACAGAAAAAACGCAGAAAAAGACGTGCCGTCAACAGGTAGCATGACCATCATCGGTTGTGCTGTATAGTTCACCGTTGTTGTCATGAATTGCTGCGATGTCTGCAAAAGCATATATTGTTTTTCGCTGTAACGAACCCAGACCGGTGCTTCTTAGGATAAGCTAAAAATGTATTCACAGGCCTAAAAAACAAAACAGGGACAGAGATAGATATGTACGCACAAGCAATTTATTTCCAATTCATGACAAAATGAATTTTTGATTTTTGCCGCGATGGTTTTACCCAATTTCTTTAAAAATATGAGTTGAACCTCTCAGACGCGCTTATGAAACGCAGAGGCATGCGGAAGTAGGGTAGGCGATAGCACCTTGCCATCAAAAACCAATCGCCGGCAAGGCTGTCGATGACTACACTTTCCAAAAGTTGCCAAGAAACTTGATGAAGGTAGCCTTGATTTCCTGGATTCGACGATAAAGATCTTCGATTGTAGCGAATTTGACGAAGTCAAACGATTGCGAAGCTTTTCATCATTAGCCGGATCCATAGCTTTTTAGGAAGTAGATGAGGTATGATATTAAAATGAAAACGTGATGGGAAGCTTACCTGTTGCGGCACTGTATCCGTAGCGGCTGTAGTCATAGCACCTTTAATGGTTGAAGCAATTGCTGCAGCATTCATTCGACTATCAGCTGTCCTCTCTAGTTCACTCGCTGGTAGAACCTCAAAAATTTGTTACGCAAAAAATGTTTTCAAAAATTTGAAATTTGATCATTCAGAGTTTTAATAGAAATCCCCATGAATTTTTAGTCTTACACTATGAAATAACGTGATGATGAAACATCAACTGCTGTAAGTATCCAGGCTGTGGACCACACAATTTAGGATTTTGTTCTAATCATTCGCATAAAAAATTCGTACGATTTTTTTTGAGATTTCATATGATTAGATTTTTTGAGATTTTGTACGACTAAATCTTTACGAGTTGTTTTTATACAACTGAGACTGAAAATGAGAAAGAGCTGGGAAATCA